GCTAAATTCAAACAGCATAAAGATGTAATGTGAATCCAAAAATCTTTGTTTAGCTCTCAGTATCATGTAACTTAAATCTCTGCAAGGGCACCAACATGAGTGAGCATTTAATTTTTTTTTTTCCTGATACACTGAGGTGACTAAACTCAATGGGATTTGGTTGTACTTGTCAGTACATTTACCTGAAGCTTGGTGGGCTCATTACTAAGAAAACTCTAAGACGTTACCAGATTGAACGCTTAAAGTTACATACTCATAATCCAATATGAATTAATATTTAATTTCAATTTCCACCTTTCTAGTATGTCATCACTAGTTCACGTACCCAAACTGTTCCTCTCCAGACTGAGATTAAGGATGCATTAATGTTTTGTGTATACTGTGATCCACCCTGAGGTTTTGTTCAAACATGCAAAGACCCCATATTTGATTCTCCAATGAAGATGCTTTTTTAAAATATTAATATATGCTTCATTTGGTCAGCACCCAAAATTAAAAAAACATTACCACTTAAAAGCAAATGAAAAGTTCAAAGGCAAGTGTACTGAGGTATATCAAGAGCCAGATTACATGGGAATTTAAATGTATTCAGTTTATGGATTTGAGAATAAATTCAACCACGCCACTAAATTAAATATACTTTTGCTGCAAAAGCCAAGATAGGCTTTCTGTTTAATCTTTCATTAATTAGCGTAGATTTCTTTAATTTTTGTATTCTGTGAAGTTCATCTTAAAGTTGAACTGCTTATGCTAATTTCAAACTGTTCAAAAATATTTGAGGCAGCAAATGATTACATCAGAAATAATTATGTTTTGGGCCAGAATCTGTTCTCTGAGCTAAACGTGATTCAATTTTCATTGGGTGAAGAAATAAGACCAGTAGTTCAGGTTCAAATTAGAATCAATGTGATTACATTGTTTTGAATTTTTGTGATCTAGAGTATTTTTTAATGTTATTCTTCAAAATTATTTAAACACATTTAAAAACCATACTTCTCAGTGTTACATATTTACAGACCTGAAAATGATTTAACATCTTTCACTAATCTAAGCCCCCAGATTTCTCAACTAACCTGAAGATGGCTTCTAAAATGTTGCTTCCCTTTTTAAGTGACCGTTATTAAGAAAGTATTTAAAGCCCACTTAAAACGTTTTAAATTGTTTAAATCATATATCCTCTTGCTAGGAAGGATTTGTTGTCCAGTCAGTAGGTTGTTTTCCAGTTATCTTAATCCTATTTGAAATGGGATTTATGGACAAGAGAAGAAATGGACCAGCTGTCACTCTGTCTGCCCCTTGAGCCTGCTTCACCAACAAGAGTATCCACAATGTCTTGTCATCAGATCAGTGAATCTGAACAGCTGTGTTTTCAGTCTGTTTTCAGGATTCTTGGAACAAGGTTTTCAGAACTTGCCTGCCAGCAACATACCCAGAGGGAACTGTTTACCTATTCTGCAACCTAAAGCCAAAAAATAAAAAAAATTAAAAAATAAAAAAAACGGAAGAATAATTTGTTAACCTGTTTCCATAGTTGGCAACTGTATATTTTTCCTTTGTTAGAGTCATGCAGAACCTGTTCATTGTATGACTGACTATGCAATACAAGTTGTATGTTTTGGCTTTACTTCCTTTGTTCACTTCTATTTTGTACTGGATACCTAATACAGGAGTAATAATGGGAATCAAAAGCATGTGGTGAAATGGTTGCATGATGAAGTAATACAGAAAAGTGGGTTAAAGAATATCTTCAATGAAAATCCAGAAGTAGGATCTCAGAAGCACTTTCACATCTGGAAGTACAAATTTTGTTGTCCATTTCTAGAGCAAAGTCTGAATATTGGTGCAGAGAAATCCTGTCAGTTCATAACCATAGCAGCTGTCCAGGGCTGTTCTCTACAAGCAAAACCATGCTCAGTTTTATTTGTCACACTGATTTCCTTTGAAAATAGATAAATAAATAAATTAATTAACCTAAGGTAATAACACCTGTATAGTGAAATATAGATTATTGTTGTAGTAAACAATTCTTTCTAGGAACAAACATCTCATTACTGGTATACAGCTAGAAGCTTTCACTTTTTGAAAATATATGTGAAAAAGTTAGTTTGAAGTAAATGGCATTGATAGATGGTTACTAGTTGAAAACATAGCACATACATTCTGGAAAGCATGGTTACTAAGTTCATTACTCACCATTTTGTATATCTTAACTTGTCTGATTATTTTGTTTCTTGATGAGCTGACTTCTGTAGCTTTTTTTTCTTTTCTTTTCCTTTTTTTTTTTTTTTTTAGGAGCACAAAAGGGGCCTCTTACTCAGCATTAAAGTTAATTTTGTATTCTTACACTGAACAAATGCATTGCTGCTATGCATCTGTCTGCATCTAGTCTTGAACTTCTGACAGCAGAGGAATGGAGAAGAGATAAATTTTATTGAAGGTCCCTCACTGAAAATGCCTACCACAGCCTGTTGTAAATTAACCCAAAGCCCTGGTGTCTGAGAGGCTTCTGTTGAATGACGAGTGCTCTCTTCAACAGATACAACAAAGATTTTGCATTTTAAAAGTGAGAAATATGCCAACAAGAAATAGAAAAATTGAAAATCTGAAAACTTGTGTTTATTCTAGATGAAATACATATAAATAGACAACCATTTTTTTTTTTTTTTTTTTTTTCCCAAAAAACTGTTTTATTTGAAACTTTATTGTTGGCTGTATGCTATTTCACAGCATTCCCATAAGATATAAGGTTCATTTGTCTTAGTCAAAGGCTAGTTTAATGCCTTCAAAGCTGAAGGCGGTTTCCACCATTAGTCTGCAAACTACTTCCAGCTGGTTCACTCAACAGTGTATTAACGTTGCACAGTAAGCAGCAAACAGCTTTTGTCTTGGATGCATCCAGATAGACTCTTCTGAGGCTCAGTGTGGTGGTATTATCTGGCTTAAAAGCATAAAATGTATACTTAGTGATGGAAAACTTACATATGGAAAGGATACTAGCCAGTAGCAACACCCATTACATCTGTTTTACTTTAACCTGATCTCTTTATATTATAAATAATGTTGTCATACATCCATCAAATCATAAATTCTGAGCTAAACTGATAGGTGTTTCATGGAAAAATGTGTTCATAAGGGGGAAAAAAACTTCAAACTGAGAATAACATAGACAAAGGAAGTTAGACTATCCCTAGAATGTTGTATTATATATCTAAATATGTGTAGGCATGCAAATGTGTGTGCGCAACATATATAAAAATACACAAAAACTATTAGCAGTTAGTAAAGGTAATAGCCTGTTTTCCTTCCACAATTTTCTATCTTTGCTTCTCTTGGTCACTAAATTTTAATCTAATGGCCTGTTTAGCGTGTGGGATTGCATGGCCATCATCAGGTATATGACAGTTAAGGATGCTTTCTTTTATACTTTAGTCGTAGTACAGATTATATTAATTTGTATACTTGCACGCATATGGTAAAATAAGGTGAAAAAGGAGAAGAAGAAAACCATATCCTTCCAGCAAATTATACAATGTTAGAAATTATATAAAAATGAATTGTGTACATTTCTAGGATCCTAAAGGAAGTTCATAACAAAGCCTCTGCCAGCTCTCAAGAGGGATTAAATTGTTGCCTTGGAGGCCAATTTTGGCAAAGCAATACTTGAAAAAAATTACTTACCACATAGGTAAATGAATTAACAATGAATTTCTTGGGTCCTCTCATGGAAGGAAAAAAAAAAATCCAAATACCCCTGTTCTTACAGTGTTAATGAAGCTAAATTTTACCTTGCTTGAGTAGGCACACACCCTGAATCCCTGGGAGGAAAAGCCTTGAAGTATTATGTTTCTGTTGGTACAACTCCCTTCCTGTTGCTATTAATAGCTATGAATATATAAAGTCTTTAGAAATTAAACTAAAGAGACAGCTATTGGCCATTGCCTTCAATTGTTTTAAAAACATTGATTATTTTATTTATATTTTATAATAAGTTCCCTTGACAGATATCTTTCAATACTAGAGAGAAGTTTTTAAAACACAGCATAGGCTCTGCTTTCTCTTCCACACTAGAAGAATTATATGCACATGTGTATAAACTATATGCATAATGGAGCCAATCTATAAATACTATTTAGCTAAATATGATTCACCTTGCCCCCATTTTCTAAAATCACACCATGAAATTTGTCAGTCTGGTTGTTCTTTAGTAAGTTAAACATGTTTTTGTAGCTTATTTCATGTTCCCAGACTCTTGTCAGTTCTTGGCCTTGTGTATATTGGAAGTGTTTTATGAAATTCTGAATGTGGGAGGTTTCCAAAGCAATTTTCACTGTGTTGTTTCTCAGTTAAAGATTACACTTCTGTGAATTGTTTAATTTAAGTTTAAGTACTGTGGTGATACTGAATGTGTTCAGGTGCCTGGATAAGAATGATAGTTGTGTGTGTGTGTGTGTTTTTGTAAACTGAAATAAATGAAACCACAATTTGAAATACTCAGGGTCACAGCCTTAAACATGTTGTGGAATGCATTGATTGCAACCTAGCATTTTCCAGTTGCTGCAGATATGCATGTCTAAGAATAGTGCAGAGATCTAAATCCTACCCAGCCAACTGTGTGGGGAATTTTTAGCAGGGCTCTGAAAACTAGCTTTAGTTATGTAGTTTAGTTGGTTTAATTAAGTGAAACCAAATATCCCATGACCAAGGCCAATCCTGTGGAAAGTAACAAAACCCAGACGACTATGTTGCCATCCATAGTAATGTAAACTGGATAACATATTCTTCTGATTTTTGTTTGCCAAAACATTTGGAGAACACAAAGAGAACAGTAAACAGTGGGGGTTGTGACTAACATGCTTCAGAAGGACAGCAGAGCAAAGCTAGGGCCTTGCAGATATTTTTGTGAATACTTCATGTTGACAAGAGCTGTGTTCAGAGCACAAGTGCTGCTGGTGGAAACGCTGAACATGCAGATGACTTGCTCTAGAAAGCAAAGCTGACATAGGAATCCCTTAGGGGAGAGCCTTTCTTCTGCATCTGAGGGAGACAGGTGGTAGTGAAGCCATTCAGCAAGTACCTCTAATGACCAATCTTTGCTGAAGAGTGGAAGCTGTGCAGGTTACAACAACTGATTCCCATCTCCTGAGGCACAGGCAGAGCTCTGTTCCCCTGGGAAGCTGCCTAACCAGCCTGTGCCTGTAGTGAGGTCTACCTTGAGCTTGGGTGTTCTGCAAGACTGGATTAACCTTGTCTGATGGCTCTCAGCAAGGCAAGGAGGAATTACTGCTTTCTCCACCCACACTTCCAGACATGTTTTCCTGCCACTTTCCTTCCTCTGGCTAGTCTGTGAATGCACTGAATTTGCTATCACAAATTCAGTGTTGGAAAGTAATTCAGAAAATACTGTTAGGAAAATAATTAAACAAAACAAAATACCTAAAACCCCAAATTCAGGAAAGTCTGCTTTGCCAGTGAGTTGAATAGGCTTGCTGAGAGATTAGAGGAACAGTAGCACTAGTGGGTAAGAGGGAGCAGGATTCTGGCTGGAGATGAACAGGGAGAGGGGAAGGATGGAGGAAATGTGGCTCTTAGCAGCAGTGAGGGACTGGATGAACGCCGACATCTTGCAAGCCTCAGGCCTGCCTCACCACAGCGTTCCAGCGTCTGAGACCTCTTACATTGACGGTTATAATAAGCATGTACGCTTAGCTATTTATCTGAAACTTGAAACTGCTGTGAAAACATGATGACTTCAGACTCTGGCAATCCTTCCTGTGCTTTCTGATATTCACTGTCCTGTGCTGTGGGTGGGCAAAAAATATCTCCATGCAATGTGTTTTGTGTAAGCCCTTCCAAGTATTAGTGGGAAAAAAACATATGATTATACAAAATATTACTGTTAGCAAGGCTGATATATTATTTATTGCAGATAACTCTTTTTGCAAATGTGGGCCTATTTTCTTCAGTGAGGCAGACTTTTTTTTTTTTTTTTTTTTTTTTTTTTCCCTTATGAGGTTTGTTATTTGGTAGCTGAGTTTGGTAACTTGTCAGTCATTCAGCCTGTTAACTCCAGCTGTCCCCTGTTTGTTTGCAGTGCTAGTAGGTCATCTGAATAACACAGTGATTCTGATTGAATGGCTGGAGCTTACCAAGTGGAATACCGAGTGATGCAGTGCAAGGAGCTGAAGCTGACTAGTCATCCGGATGCCTGGGACAGTATGTCACCATCTTAGATTTTTTGTCACTGAAATATTTAACTTTTGCTTCTCATAGCACCCTGTTTAGTTAACCCCTTATCTCAGAGTGATGACTATTAAATAGGACCAATAAAAAAATCGTAGTTTAACATGGAATATAGGGAATGGGAATATAATTCCTATATTATTCTCTTAAGATTTATTTTGATTGTCAGAATTTTAGACCTGTTTCATGGCTATATTTTCTTAGCAGAAAGATGTTATGTTCCTTCTTTTCACTTAAATCTGAACTGGATCATCTAAGTAATATTATACTGCTTGCTTGGTAGTTATTTAGGGTAAAATTACTTGAGAAGTCTGAACACTGCTTGGTGTTCAGAAGAGGTATCCTGCTTCTTTCTCTCTCTTTTTCTCCTGGACATGCATTCCCACAGCTTATTTAGCTAATTTAGCTATCAGCTCACTAAGCTGGCAGGGAACTAACCAAGCAAAAAAGAAGTGGCTGTTGCTGAGCTAGTGAGTAATATCATTGCCCAGAGAAGTCTGATAAGTGCCAAAATATGGTAAAGGAAGATGGTAGAGGGTGGAACTGTTTGGCTACTGGAAAATGCAAAGGAGGGGGAAAACAGGGAAAGAGGAGGGAGGAGTGTGAAGAAAAGGAACTGGTGGTAAGCTGTTAAATAAGTTTCACTGTTATATGCAAATTTATCTTTAGAGACTATTTAACACAATGTGCGAAACCACTTTTTTTTTTTTTTTTTTTTTTTGGAGGTCTTTCAAATGCTTTTGGCAGATCAAAGGTTAATATTTTATTATAACTCATGAATAATGCAAGCAATAATCTGGCTGCAGGATGTATGAAATAATCTTTTGGGGAATATAAAGGCTCTTTTGCTGTTGTATCTTCTCAGCTATGATCAAGTTCTTTACTGAGTGACATCAGGAAAGTTGAGCTAATGTGCAGCTCACAGCACTTCCGAATTAGATGTGATTTGTGAAGGGCATCTTCGTATATTTCTCATTGCCCTAGCAAGCAGAATCTTTGGTTGGATAGAAGATCTTGTCCAAATGTATCTGAAGGCTGATGGCCTGCAAAGTCTGCAGATGGATGCTATTTTAACCATCTACAGCTTTTAGCAAAACATTTTTAATTTTGAAAATATGACTACTGCATTTTGCCTGTAGGTGAAATGACTTCTGGAATGGGTTTTGAGGCATAGAGTTAATCTGGGAAAGAGGCTTGTCAGGTAATTTCTCCCTTTACAGAGTATCATAATAGCTTAAATAAATAAATAAAGATGATCTAGACAGATTTAATTGGTCTGTACTCTTATTTATTTTGGCTAATTCAGCTCAGGATTTTAATCAGAAGTTGTCATAACTGTTGCATAGATTTATTGCTGAGTTGTTTAATGTGGTGGTTTAGAAATTGAAGAGCTGAAGTTAGATATATTAAACAACTTCAATAACATCAGTTTAGACTTCCAGCTAGCAGAGAGGCACTTTTGGGGACCAAATGATATATCTGAAGAAAATGACAGCTTAAATGTAGCAGCGGGACCTTAGCTCTCCTTAGTCCCAAGAAATGTCCTACATCAAGGTCATATTATTCTGAAGTTATTTCTACCAGTATGAGTACATGGAATTTATTTCATTTCACAGTTTCATTTAATGTGTTGATCACCTCTAGAGAACTTCATGCTTATTAATCACATAGTCATGTATTACATTGTCTCTCAGCCCTTCACTCATTCACTCATTTCATAATTCTGTAAGTATCTTGAAGTATTGGCAAACCATGATTTCAGTTTCCCGTTTTGAATGTTGATTGTAGCAAAACAGTTGGAATAATAATAATAATAATAAAAAACTTTTTGCTTTTTTTTTTTTTTTTTTTTTTTTTTTTTTTTTAAGAGTACCATGCTACCAACACAAGTTAAGTAACTTTTGTAGTTAAGCAATGTCTTGAGGAATACCTGTTCTTGACAGAGGCAGCAAATGGCTTTGTATTCATTTGCCCCCAGAGAACTTCAGAAAAAGTTCCTCTTACTGGCAGAGCTGATTACTGAATTTCTGAAGCTAGGTTAACGAGAGCAACAACAGAACTTTTACATTTTGTACAAATTCTCAAGATGTGCAATATAGATCAGAAAACAAGCAACTTCTGTACATTATGACCAAACACTTAACTATGCTTAGCTATGTTTGGCAACGTTCAGATAGCAATCTGGAGACTGGTCCTGAAAAACATGTGAAGGTGTGTGTTGGGGATTTTCAGAGCTGTGTGAGTGCCACATGCTTGCACTAACTGCGTTGGCAAGGGCTGAGCTAATGCTGCCTGTTGTGTGATACCATATGCAAAAAAGCAATTATAATTGATGATGCTGGTAGTAGAATGGATCTGTTCAATGGCTTCTGATAGGGGATTGAAAATAAATCTTCTTCTGAGTCCTAATTCCTTTGACTGCAGCCTTTTGCCTTAATTGCCTTATTATTGTGGCAGCTTTAGCAAAACTGACAGCAACACTTGCTGTCGCGTGGTACTTTCACCAAACTGACATTCTGTTTTCCAAAAAAAACCACACTTGTGCGAGTCTCAGCCTCTTCCACCTCCTCCTCCCACTTAGACATTCTCCTAATACTCGGTCTTTCTCCTATCCTTTATTAATCCTATAAACCCTGAGCAAATCTGTCTACCTCTGTCAGTGTTTGGTGAGGAAGGTCCTGTTCTCCAGGGTGCCAGGTCTCAGTGTGAACAGTCTGCACTGACAGGCTGCTAACAAACCTGACCACAGCTTGAATCCCTTGCTTTAAGTGTCCCTGGCCTAAGAAATTGTGAAATCCTTAGAGCAGCTTTAAGCACTCAGGACATTCTGAAAATATTCCTTGCATCCCTGTCCCTTGGGTTGTCTTGTCAATAACGGCTGTATAATGCTTGTGGTGTAGGACTCTGAGTAAAATTAAATGCCAGTTTTGAAAGCTACATGAATAATACAAGAATAGATATACAGGACAGACTTTGAAAGCCCATAAGCATGGCTGAAGCAATGAGGATTTTATTCTCACACAGTGCTTTCAAAAGAGAGTTTTGAATCAACAGAACATCTTGACTGAATTCTTCTTGTTTCTCTTCTAGAATATTACTTTAAATTCTCCAATCAACATTTCCTTTGAAGTAGGAATTCTCTTATGGTTTTCTAATTCCTGTAGGTAAAAGCTATCTGTAGTACAGCTTGTCAAAAAAAATTTTTATGAATGAGAAATATACTAGAGACTGAGGTAAATCCTCCGGTGCTAAATCTGTACTTTCAGATACGCTTTATTGTTTTTACACAGTCCTATCTTTACCCTGTGAATGAATCCTACAATATCATTATCCAGATCAACCTCTTAGATCTAGTTTTGCTTTTAATTTTCTTGACTTTTTGAGTGATTGGCAAGCAAACTTTGGTCTGGTTTAAAGAAACACTCCTAGCTATTGAGACAATGAACGCCTACTCTAATTTAGTTACTTCTAGTTCCTAGATATGCTCAGTTACAGGCATGAAAGTGGGATAAGAATTATTTTGATTCTTTGGTTTATACATCTTTGATTATTCAATTATTTTGCCATTTAGTCTTTCTGAATTAGTGGATCCTTGTCAGTAATGAAAAGGTTTACAGCAACTCATAAACAAGGTGCCATGTCTTTTCAAGTGAACGTGGGATTCGAAATAAAGAGTTTCAGACCTACCATGCATTCTCATTTATCTGTAGATTAAGTTGTTAGTCTGCCTGGGTTTATGCCATTGTTTTAAAAGTTTACAGAAAATCTCTGATGGCATCCACCTCCAATCTACTTAATTACAAAGCAGTTGTCTAATCAGGCTTTTTTTTTTTTTTCCTTTTTTTTTAATTTTAAAATTCTGTTTTGAAAGTGTAATACTAAGAATAATACATTGTGTATGAACAGCTGAAGATCTCTATTTCTCTATTCCCCTTTGGAATTCTGCATATCATGAAAATTCTTAATTAGAAATGTTTTGTAGTTTTCCTCTAAGCTTAAATGATGCAAATATACTTTTGCAGTGGCCCACTGTGCAATTCAGAAGTGACAAACTGCTCCATGTTTTCTTTAGTTCTAAGGAACTGAATCTTAATTTTTTTCTTGACTTGCAATTATGATAATTCAAACCCAGTACAGCTAAGTGCTAAAACAACAGGACAGTATTCAATGATTGAGATTTGTATGTGTTATTATGCAGTAGGAAGACTATATACATTAAATCAAATTATGAGAAGTGGCCTTTTGTACTCTTCATTTTTTTAATCCATGGCACCTTTTAAAAACAGAAACTAAATGAAAGCAACTGAATCTGAAACCATCTGATTCAATTGTTGATATCTTCCTATATAGGTATCTTGATCAAACAATTCTTAGTTTAGGATTAATATACTGACTGGGAAAATAATGCTGTTGCAAATTCTTCTTTGTTCCATTCAATAATAATAATAATAAATGCTAGCAATTTACAACTTATCTTCATTGTCTTAGAAAAGCAATAGAAACTTCTGATGGAGAAGGAAAGAATAAGTTGACAGCATTTTGAAGAGTTGATTTTTTAATTTTTTTAATTTTTTCCCCCCAGCACCATGAAGGATCAAAATGTCTTCATAGCGTGGCAGTAAATGAAAAATGAGTAATACTACACAGGAAAGAGGTGGTTTATACATCTACCACATCATATTAAAGCTTGACAAAGTTTCTAGTGGCTTCTGACGGACTATATTACTTTCATACTGAACTCCTGTGGTATTTGAAGAGAGTAATAGCCTCTTTCACAAAGTCTTAAAGCCTTGGCTGTGGTTTCTTTCCTTTACAGATATCATTTGCTCTTGAATGTAGAGGAATAATTTTATCTTTGCCATTCCCTAGTACAGTAAGTAGAAATGCAGTCTTTCACAAAAGTTACTGATGTAAACTGTAGCATATAGTATAGCTTAAAATTCTTCAGTGAAATGTACAATGGTATTAGAAGA